AATAGTAACTCATTCCGTAATCCTTCCTGCACATTTATTTAATCGTATCAAAACGTTTGATACACAATGTTCACTAGTGTCATAATTTTGGCGATGTATTAAAACCATAATTGTACAAAGTAGGTTAGCATAAGTTAGGCAACAACCAGTGTGAAGAACAACTCCCTTTTTAAGTGAGGCAAGACAACCTATTCAAACTGATTATAACCTTGATAAAGACACAAGACAAAGGAGTTATGTAAACTAGCGTGTGAAAACACACTCTTTGTCACTGTTACAAGACAATGGAGGCAACAGTGGAGTAATTGCAATATACCCCTGTACAGTCAAAGAGAAATTAGTTATGAAAGCTTACTTCGGGTCAGCCCTTAATTTGCTTGTCCGAAAGAAAGAGATAGATGTCGCAACGCGAATCCTTTTATTAACCCTTCATTAGTTTGTGTAAAAGTGTGAAAGACAGGCAACGATCTCGACTCGCTGTTGATATTGTTCGCAATTAATATTGGAGTATACCGCCTACATGTAAACATCAGACAAGGCGTTGAGATCGATAAAAGTGGAGGTTTATCTGAAAAATTAGATGCCATTTTTGTGAAATGACTTATTCAGTGATGTGCATGTAACGAACATGTTTAAATTCTTGATTTTTATTATTTGAAACATCTTCATACACGGCCTCATATTTATATTTCTCTCAGGCCATACTCATTTTATTGTATAACATGGGACTCTAAAGCACAGGACATTGTGAAAGTTAATTGGCTACAGAGACTTGTTATCCTTTATGCAGTTTTATAGCGTGGATGAACTAGAAACAGGCTTTACTTAGCTTTACTTAATTTTCGAAAATTTAAACAAAATCAATCTGCAAGGCTTGCTTTGACTTGATGTTAACCTAACACTGGTTTTAAAAGGAGAAATATAAATATGTTGGATGGATTAAATCACCGACACCGTTCTATTTTAACTTAACGTGGTCATATACACAGTAACACAGATAATATTTATAAGTTGTCTGTCGTTCAGCACGCATTATAGGCGAGTAGCCAAACAGTGACGATGATCAATCCAAGTAAAATCTAGGCAAGTATTGTTTACAAAATAGATCATGATGAATAAACCTACGCTTTAATAAATAATCACCACACGGTTCTGTTTTTGTCACTTAAAAGCTTTCGTTTAAAGACGCTCAATGATATCAAAAATGATTTAAAAATGGACCGGTTCAAGGGGCATTTTTTGTTTCAGCTAGGGACTTCAGGTAGAGGATTCAGTGTAGGTGTTTCCTCGGATGATAACAGCATTACACCCCAGGTCTAAGCGAGTTGACTAGAAGCTTTTTGTTCAAGCATCCTATTCCTACTACTAAACTAATAACTCTAAACCACAAAGGTTTGTGCGGTAAAAATATTTAAACTAAATGAGGTGCATTGACAGAGGCACAAGTACAATCCAACGCCAACGTGCAACAGGGGAAAGTCTGACAGTGTATTACATAATATATGAAAGTGCGGTCAATATTAACAGTGTAAGACATCAGTTAAAGAGGAGGGGGTCTTACTATCTTTTGTTAAACGCGACTGTTATTATCTCTCGAACAAGCTTAAACCATGCCTTATACAATTACTGTGTCTCCGGCTGTCGTGCAGAAACGGCATGTCGAACATATTTTGCTACAGTTACAAACAGGGAAAACTAGCGACTTAGTTGTTCTAGATCGCTCTAGTAAGAAAGCATAAGTGCGGCGCCCGGGCAAAACAATCAACTACCCGGTATAACATTCATATCTTAGCGTTTACATATGACGCGCAAAGAGCTAAGTACATACGACGCGGAAAGAGCTAAGCAATTAGCCTTGACAAAGTGGTCTGTTTTTAAACATCAACGAGAAAAAAGAACGCCTTGTCATAGTTATGAGACAAATCGCTTGCAACGTGCAACAAGGGGGATGGCTGACAGTGTGGTCACACTACATGTTTATGAAAGTACGTTGAATTAACAGTCTTCGACATCGCCCAAAGAGGAGGGACTTACTGTACATAGCCCTCATTATCCTTTCTCATACAACCTTAAACAAAACCTAAACAATAAGATTGTTAAATCAGATAAGTGATGTAAAATCATATTGGAAATTTACGTTGACGACGGAGACTTCCATTCGCAAAGTTAATGAAACAAGACTGGTCCAAGTTAACTGCCCATATTGAATAAATCTTGGACTGTTAAACCTAAAGCCATNACATAGGTCGCGCAAAGAGCTAAGTACATATGACGCGCAGGGAGCTAAGCAATTAGCCTTGACAAAGTGGTCCGTTTTTAAACAACAACAAGAAAAAAGAACGCCTTGTCATAGTTATGAGACAAATCGCTTGCAACGTGCAACAAGGGGGGTGGCTGACAGTGTGGTCACACTACATGTTTATGAAAGTACGTTGAATCAAGGAGTTATAAGTTATGTGGGTTGACACTCACCGCGTTAGCTGCGACAATGATTATTTCTTCACAGCGATTTATTCATTCAATTATTAAATCATAATTTATTTATTATTTATTAATTTACTTTAATGATTTAAATCATCTAATTTTTATCTATTTTTTATTTGATTCTTAATGTAACCTAATTATTTACTTTATTCTTTAAATAATATTTTTATTTATTTATTTATCAAGCCCGTAGCCAGCAATTTTAAAGAGGGAGTGTCTTTTTCTGAAAAAGTGGACCTTTTACCGAAAAATCCCCATGTATTTATGTCAAATTTTACCCAGAGTGGGCCTTTTTAAGCAAAAGGGGGGTTTTTCGAACCTCCCGAACTCCCCCTGGCTGCGGGCCTGTTTATATATTTATTTATTAAGACTTTCTATTATTATCCTTTTACGGATTCGCTCTATTATTTTATATAAAATGTAACTTAATGTAGTAATTGAGACAACACGCCAGCTTGTAATGTGAATAAATTGTTTTAATAATGTTTCTTTCTTTGTTATCTCTAAACAGTAATGTATTTTTACACAGGTAGCGATGATGGAAATTTGTGTACGGAGCATCTTTAAACTTTTTGAGACGGGGTGATTTGTTGATCATGCTGATGTACGATGCTGATGCATGTCTATCAAATTCAATTTTTGACCACAGAACACTTCATGTTGAATTAAAAAACTGATACTAAATTAAACTAGCAGTTTTCTTGCAACACTTAAAACATGATCAGCTGCGTGTGCCAAGCTAGTGAACAAAAGGATAGGTGGCCACGGGAGTATAATCCTATCGCCGCAACAAACAATGGGCACTTTCTGACTGATGTATCCTGCTGTTAATTACACCTAGTCACAGCGGATTTCGTGCTCGCGCTGGACCACAGAAACAGGCGTCATGGGGTTCACTCGCCTAAGGTATTGTGTGTGATTACGTCTAAACTATTGTGTTTTGGCGTTCGAATTTTGAAGGGATTAGACGGCTCTCCATTGTTTGTCCGCCCCCTTCTATTCATAGTATAGGGCTTAAAACCTTTCTAACGTTTTTAAAACGTCGTACAACGGAAACTTAATTTTTATTACTACTGTATCTTTCGTGCGCGCCCGGCTCCCTCTTGAGCTAAAAGCAATTTAGCGTGAACCCCCAGGGAGTTAGGTCGATCCAGATGGATTGATCTAAGTATGGGAACCCAGTCTAAAATACTGCCACATTTTAGTAATGATACTTAATTCCAAGGCTAAGTGTCTCTGGCACGAAATTTAAGAAAGGAAATTAAATTGATTTTTTTTTATTATTCATTTTATGTCTGTGCCCGTGTTGCCGGGGTAATAATCACTGATTCTGACCTGACCACAGTTGTGCTGACCTCTCACACCTATCGCAATCCCTACACAAGCAACAAAGCTTGATGCTGTCACTCCGTTGTTTCAACTCTGATTGAATATTGGGCAGTTACACATGATTGGTTTGTAACGAGACAGTTCTGATTGGGCGAAGTGGCACTGATCGTTTGTCTCGTGACGGTTGCGTTACTGATATTCTGTCTAGTTACAGCACTGGCATGCAGCACGTCTGGGCTCCTCTTGCTGCCACCAGGGCTTTCAAGCGGCAAGACATTCCTCATGACAGGTTTCTTAGATTTTTGCCTGAAATAACGTTCAAGGTATCAGTCAGAGCTTGTCCGTATAGGTTCACCTTTGTAATACGACCAACAGACTGGAGATTGAACAAGTAATTGATACCGAAGATTTTCTATATCTGGTGATCTAGATGGCCACGATAGCTGTTTCTTCACATCCGCGGAACCCCCTTTAAATAATCCTGGGTCCGCCCCTGTATTGTAATCCTATATCTAAGATTTACTTCCATCGTACTATAACTTAAGATTCTTGAAGAGGATATGAATTATTTCACAAGCGGAAATTGTGTTATGTACCTAAAAATTGTCATTTAACTGATATGTTTTGAACCTGCATCAAAATAATGAATGACAAAACTAAATGGCATAGGTAAACTCCGATTTATTTTGATCTTGAAAACTTGTTTTTGACAAAATGATGAATAACATGATACCTTGGCATCGGCATCAGGAAAAAGGCAGCACACTATCTCTCTCCATTATAAAGTAAATTATGAAAAGTATTATGTCGTACTATATCTGAAAATATCAAAATAAAGCACAGAATAGTTTTGAATTAGAGATAAACAATGACATCTTAACTGAACTCCCAGTACAAAGCTAAAACAGGGTACAAAATATTAGATAATAAATACACGTATGTGATTTTTATATCACATAATTGCTACGTAAACCAGAGAACAAATGACAGCCAATTTAAAATCTATAAATCAAAAATGCAAAGAAAAACAAGTTTTGCACATCTTACAGTACAATGTACAAGTAACAGTACAATTTGAATGACTTCAACCATTTAGAAATGACACAGCACACCATACATGTATGAAAATAGAAAACCTTGGGTTTTATTCTGTTCTTTTTGTGATCCCGGAATTCCCCTACTTGTAGGGGACCTTCCATTTCCTTAACACTTTGGCTATATAAGTCTGGTTTTTGACATATAGTCGTATAAATATTGGATTTGTAAAAAGAAACTAATACATCTAAATGGACACAAGCACTCACACAATAATCACCTATACAGTACGTGAAGTCCATTCTTCCCTTCAAATATTATGCATCATACATGTGGTAAAACGACATAAAATAAAGCCATTCATTAGAGATAAAACCATACCCGATACAATGATATATCTTCTAGTAATAATAAACACTAAGTACAGAATGTCATGCAATATACCGATACATGTATATACATGTAAGTTCGTCCAAACAAATCGGCAATGATTATAAAGTGAAAATACACAGTCCTTTTAAAATCTTTCTCTTTCCTATCGAAAAAAAATCCATTTACACGTGCATATACTGAAAAAAACTGATTATCAGCCCCGCGATGCCGAGAGGACGGAACATACCGGATCTGGTAACCTGGGCAGCGTTGCAATAGGACGACCTGCAGTAGCAATACTCGTACTCGACTAAATAGTTTGATTTAACGCAACCATTCGAAACACTGCTGCTGGTCAGGCACCCCTTGCTGATCACCTGATAACCTGTAATATGAGCAACAAACGGACGTTGTATCTTGAAACTGAATCAAAACATATACGTACTTGTACAAAAATCGCTTAGGCTTATAACTTTTACTAGAAAGTAAGGCCAGAACTTATGAATGGGGGGCTAAAGAAATAAAATAAAAGAATTGATTGTAGGGAGTTTGAACAAAAAAAATTAACCAAGAGAAAATATCACAAAAGCTTGTAAATTGACTGACACACCAATTTCCACGCAGTTGACAATTTTAAAATTGAAATGTGACACAATTTTGTTTTAGAATCTTAAGTCATTTTTTTGGTATAAATGCCCGTTCAACACTGAGATGAGATATCAGTATCAGCGTAGGTAAGATATATGAGAGAAAAATATTTAACCCAGTTAAATCCCCATATTGGGACCCTTAAACTTACCACTGTAAGTTGTTACAGTCTTGTAACATCCGTAGGAGCAGGATGTTGTGCTACCGCCAGTGCCGCTGCAGCTAGTGCAAGAATAGCAAGTGTAGCCTGAAAAAAAAAGAATAATAATAATAGCATATTTGTTTAACTTTGCGACGCATGTTTTCTGTCTGATTTGGGCTTTCTCTTACCTGCTGCAAAAACTGTATGTATATGTATATGTATATTCATATGCTAGATACAAATTACACACACACACACACACACACACACACACACAGAGAGAGAGAGAGAGAGAGAGAGAGAGAGAGAGGAGAGGAGGGAGGCAAGAAATACAGACGTACCGCTCAAAGATCCACTACTCAGATATGATCCCCTCTGGATTCTAATTCTAAAGTTGTGTCCTGTGGTATAACCTCTATAGTAGTACACATACAGATACCGTCCAGTGGAATAGTACGTGCCAGATGAGGTGCTCGTACAGCTGACCCTCCGCTGAAATGTAGTTTAAACATGTATAGTTAAGATATTCGTATATTTTCTTAAAACTCTGACAAAAGGCCGATTACGAGAGATTGTGTGGGTACGTTAATAAATCATCTATTTAGTAAATAAAAATGATGATTCATGTCTATCTTTCTTCATTTATTAAACTTTATTAAATGAGGGCGAAATATGGTAATTTTAAATTTTATCTTCCCCATGGTCCTCATAAGGTCAGTAAAAATACGTTAATAAAACATCTAATAAGTAAATAAAAAATGTAAACATTGCGTTAAGACTTTAAAAATAACAATCTGAATAAAACTAATATACAAATAATACTATCAAAATGACAATAAAACATATGCACAGATAAACCAATAACGACAATAACAATCCTCATGTTTGATAAAACTAAACATAGATCAATTAAAACTTCTTGAATGTTTTCAAATTTCTAATCCCTTTAACAGGATTATTCCATAAAAGTAAAGAGCACCAAACGGTCTCAGGATTAGGGGAGACCGGGGCTAGTTGGGCCCTGGGGTAAGTTCGTTCCCCCCCCCCCCCCCCCCCCCATCAATTTATGACAAAGTAATTATGGGGTAAAAGAATTTATCACATCACTTTGTAAAGTGACCGTATCCAATAGAAAGCGTCGGCAGTGGGTCCAAATGAAATAATTTAGCATCTTAAAGTAACTAAAATCTTAAAGTACGTACGTGTACTCTTTAAGATGTATATTAATGCATGCACAAAGGACTCATTGTAGACTCACTAATGATATTCTTAAGCCAGAAAGCTAACATCATGCTACCCAAACAGATACGCTTGTTAAGGTTGTTTCTATACAAGCAAACAGAATACATGCATTTACGTTTTGTTTCTTACCAGTGATGAAGATGATGAGGAATATCCATCATATATTCTCACGTACGGTGTACAACTCGACATGCTGATACTGTACACGTAAGCACTCAGGCCATAGGAGGAGGAAGAGGAATAAAACCTCATGTAGCAGGAGGTCGGTGCAGAGGAATAATAGGAAAAAGAAAAGTACGTTGGATCCAAGTAATACGTGTCAGAGGAGTAGACGGTCTCTTGGTCACTGCAGTGAGACAGGTAGTTATCCAGGTACCGGTAGTATGCTGAATTATAAAGAAAGACAAACATCTTTGTAAGATCGACTCCAAAGATTATCTCTTTTGCACTGTTTTTTTTTTTCGTAAAGTTTCGTAAAGTTACTGTCATTCGTATAAATAGAAAATGGCGAGAGATTTTTTGTATTTTGGAAGTGTTTCCGAAACTGTCAGTTGGTGAATATAATAGAAAAATGAACACAGTGGGGCTCCAGAAGTGAGTAAAAATTCTTCAGTCTTATAGCACATAGTATAAACCCCTGTGATCAGAGGACAGGGATCCAGGGTGTTCAGGATCAATGCCCTCCTTCATCACATTGTTTCATTGTTTGGCAGAAATACCTTCGAAATTGGAACACAGGGACATTTCGAAATATGGAGCCCAGAAAACGTTTCTAAAAATCTATACAAACTGATCTTGTGGGAAAGTAAGGGGCCTGAATCTATTTTCGTACCCCGAATCCCACTCCGCAGTATAATACTTACTGCCTGCCTCCGAGATGCGCACAAAGATGATCAGTAGAAGTTGAAGAAACCACAATCTCCATGGTTTATACATGATTGTTAGTGCCCTGCTAAAAAACGAATTTAATGTTTAAAAAAATACACCACCCTGGGTGAAGTGAGATATATAAATGGGGCCATGTTTACAAGCGACCTCTTGAAGTCAGGAAACATCTTATCTACATGGAGATAAGTCGCTACCTTAAAATATCAGTACACTAATACAGTAATTTGAACTGAAATTGCACAACACATTTTCTAGAATATAACAAGGCATCAGTTGGCTAACTACATCAAAACTCACCGTTTCTTCCGCAATTCTGGTTGTTGTTGTCTATAAAATATCGAACAGTTTCTTTTTTAGTGTTAAGATGGCCGTGAGGTGAAACATCACGTGTGTCCTACCGTCAACAATGTTTTCCCTAACGACACTTTGTAAAGACCCTAGTTACCGAAGAACAGCCCATAAACGAGGGCAAGAAAACAATAAGTTAACGTCGAAAGAGGGGAGGGGAGGTAAAGTTAACCACACTAAAGGCCATAATCCATGCCTGCATGAATGACTTTAAATGCTGATCACGGAGCAGCACAATGTTCAAACGAATTATGCCGGCGGTGTCTGAATTCTACTGAATAACTCTAAAGTCACAGGTCGCCCAAGTTTTCTATTGATTGCTACCCTGGCCTCTGCTTTGCCTGAAACAAGACAAAAAGTGTATGGAGGCTGACATAATGTATATTTAAATATTAAAGAAGCGTTTGTATTTACATACTACGCTTTATGAAAAACTAGCAGAGAACTGCAATGTGCGTCTTAGTTCAGAGCTGCAAGTATTGATTTTTAGTTTTAGCTACAACGAAGACATAAAAAGGACTTATCGATTTCATGAACTTCGGTCGAACACTTGAAAATCTATCGAGGATCTTTACATAAGTGAAACCAGTTTCATTTTCTGAAAGATATCTTATTTAATAAAATAGCAGGCACTTTGCAGGAGTTATAACATGTTAAGGAAGAGAGAAAAAATATTGATTATAAACCACAATATAGCCACGCAGATGAATAAAAAAATAAATGTCGTTCAAATGACGTTACAACGCACATACAGTACAATATCTCGGCATTTAACGCTACGAGGTAATGTAGCAGCACCAAATAACAGAATTTAGACCGTACACAGGGCCTACAAAGGTAAAAGTAATGAAATGATTGCTATCGTACGCTGAAAAGGAATACTAAGCCACAAAAGTGCCATATTGACCTAAATATAATTCTGTTTACACAGCTGAAAATTATTATTCACTTTTTTATTTATTTGCTGTCTCCGCTGTTTTCTATGTCCCAAATAGAAACCTTGTTTTGATTCAGTTCTTTCTGGAGAAACAACGTAAGAAGTCTCTAATTCAGATCTTTGCCATTGTCAGTAATATTCAGCCCTTCGCCTGTCACGTCTAAAGCCTCTTGATAATGCCTGCAGATGGCGCCACTTGGTATCTCTCATAGCGATCGCCTGCTGCAGTTTTGATATCAGACGTCTCCCCTCCACCCCCAGGGTCCAAATATACATGTACGTAGATGATTGTTGTCGGAGGATTAATATTTATGACGAAATCTGTATCCTTTTTTAGTATAAAATCGATGATTTTCAAGCAATTGAATTCCTGAACGACGTGCTGGCTACCAAAAATAATGAAAGAGAACGTCAATGCAGCTAAATCGGAATGGAAAAAAGAGAAAACATGCAGGCACGTTTCAAGTCCGTGGTGGTGGTGGTGGTGGTGGTGGGGGGGGGGGGGGGCCAGGAAAAAGGCCAAGAAGGG